TTCAGGACAGTTTCTACATGTTTTTAAATGTTTCTTCATTCTTGTTGCATTGTTAGCATACTCCTGCCCACAATATTTACATCTACCAACTTCCTTCCTTCAGTGGCTTGAACTTCACTATAATGATGCCACACACTAGTTTTTTTTCTGATTAGGCATTATTATGACTACTTCAAACCAAAAACATGAAAAACTAACAGATCGTATACAAACACTTCCTACTTCCCCCAACTCAAGGAAAGAAACAAGACACTGCTCTGTACACTTGCTGAACTGCAAGTGAAACAAAAATTAATCACAGGTTTAGTTTGGTTTTGCTTTCACTTGCAGTCTGAGATGAAATAAGAATTTTAGCTTTTGGTTTTCATTTCCTGCGAAGCCAATTAGGTGAATAATAACTTGATAACTTGATTTTTAGTTTCGATTATTATGTGAATGTATTTACCCTCCTGTTTACAAATCAATAAAACGTATGTACTCTCTCACACACTTCCTAGGGATAATTATCTGAAAAACATTACTTACAACTTTGAAACTGCCAAGCTTGCCTAATATTGTATTGGCATCCATTCATTGTTACTAATGAATTTTATGAAACAGTGAATTTTTAGAAATTGAAAATTTCTCATGGTAAAATAAAGCACTTGAAAATTTTCTGCTCCACATCTCTGCTTGCCAAGTGCCAGAGCGTGCATGCACAGGCATTCCCTGGGTACGAGTAGCAGTAGCACAACTATATACCGCTGCTATTTGTTCCTGGGGAAATGCACGTGTGTGCTCATCTGGATGTGCCCTCTAAGATTGAAAAAGGATGTAAAATTTCTTGCTTGTAACCTGACTGCTGCTGCTTTTCCCTGGCTCCAAATTGCTTTTGCTAACCTTCACAGAATTTCCCTGCCACTAATATCTGGGCTTAGTAAGCTGAATGAAATTGTTTGCCAGGCTGGATCAGGCCATGTAGGCCATTGGTTGCCAGCCCCTGCCCTAATGCATAGGGTACTTGCCCAGGAAGCAGGAAACCCAGAATTGGTTTAAATCTTCTCTCTCACTTCCTAAGAACCAGGCCATGGGTTAAGGAGGGCCAAGATCACCTTTTGCCCCTTTTGTTGAAGTTGTTCCACTGAACTATCAACATTGAAATAGTCATGGCGTTAGGGGGGAAATAAGTCAGAAAGAGCTTGATTCTGTGACTCAGGAAAGTGAGAAGATGCTTTAAAGGGAGGGCTCTAAATCCTTCTCCTCTTCCTGAGCGTGTTTCTGAATTTTCTTGGAAACGTCATAAAAAAATGATAGATTTGAGGCACTTTTTAAAATAGTTTCCTCCTCTGCTTGAATTACTGAAAAGTAATCGTGAAATTCTCTCACAAATTTGAGGAGTAATGAAACATATGAGGAGTGAGAGAGAGAATTAATCCTTGACAGGGCACCTAGAATTGGCAAAAGGAGTAACATTAGGTCATGGAGGATGGACTCTGACACCTGCCATAGAGGCTTGCAGAAATCAAAGCTGCAGTCAGTATCATATACAGCTTTATTCACTTTATTACATAAGCTAAGACCATGGCCAACATTTGGCAAAAAGCAGTGGATTCCATCACTTTGCAAGAGTTTGCAAGTACCAGGAGAGTGTGTAGTACAGCGAAGAAAACAAGTAGCTCAGAGGAACTCGGTGTTGGACTAGTAGACAAAAATTGTAGTCCCAGCTGAGTGCAGTGTCATCCTCAAAGGAAGTGGGTGTTTATTTGCTTTAAGTAGGATGCAGGTGCACAATCAGTGTGGTGCCAGAAAGTTACATCAACATTGAAAGATAAGCCATGGTTAAAGATAAACGAGTGAAGCTCAGGACATACTGTGCTGAGCTAATCCTCACTAAAGGAATGGATGGATAAACAACAAACAGTATTGGGGAAAATAGTATTTAAATTAAAAACGCATCTAACATTTGGTGTCAAAAGGGTACATTCAGTTGAAGGCATGGCATCAAAACAACTGGAGAGCCTTCCAGAGGATAGATGGAATAAAGATGTAAGCACAGAATAAAGCTGAAAGCTCAACCCACCCATGATTCATGCCCTTCAGAAAACTGTTTTTGCTCTAAGATAGAGAGGCTTTGAGGAGCTGGTAGGCTCGTTTTGGGAATCAAACCACAAACAGATTTTGCCAAATGAAGCAAATCAGCTTTGCTGAGATGTGTCCTGGTGCAGTTGATATGTTTCATTGGGCTAAACAGATATTGTCTATTGTCCTGCAGGGTTGGACCCCTGTTCCTTTGGGAGTGCCTCTGCAAACAAGGGGATCCTGGGGATCCCCACTTGCAGAGATATGCTCAGGGATTCTGACTTGGAGCATATCTCTGCAAACAGTGAAACGTGGGCAGATGCTCCTAGGTTTTAGGGCTTGATCCTGCATGCCCCAGGAATTCCCTGGGCATGGAGGATCAAGCTTTAGATGCATATGGATGACACAGTTGTGTTAATGTAAATTGCAATTTTCTCATTTGCAATTTTGCAGTTTTAAATATTCAATCCCAACTTTACACTTCCTTAGAATTTTACATTTAGTTTTTTGGCTTGTTGTTCAAAAATAATGGGGAAAGAATGCCATTGTGCACAATAATATCAATATTCAAACATTCCAATTTTTGTTTTATATTTTACACCTCTCTGAGATGACTGCAGTTGGGAAGGATTATATTCTCACCTTAAAACCACTTTTTTACCCCCTGGGAATAGGCTTTTGACAAACCCTTGGAGAAACGGCACTAATCAGTTTGAACAGCATTGTACAATCTATCTAGCCTGCAGGGTCATCCACACAGGGCAGTTCCTGCATGTAGGGTTCCCCAAGGTTCCAGAAATTTGGTGATACAGAAGTGGAGGCAGTGTTAATTCCCATAACAAGCCGCAATTAACACTGCCACTATTCCCTGCTGTCAAATTTTATGGCCCTCTGATCAGCCCCATGTAATGGATCTGGTCTGCAGGCCATAAATTGAGTACCCCGGTTTAGAAGAACTACTCAGGGTATATACACAAGTGCAGGCAGTCTGTTTGGGAGGCACTCTACTTCATGATGCTGTACACAAAGCACCATGACTTAGGCCCCCATTGAATCCAGTGTGGGTTCCCCGTTGGATGGCGGGGCTCAGAGCCCACCTTCACTGGCCCAGGCCAGCAGGTGGGAGTGCTCCAGCAGCCTCCCTCCCCCCCCATGCAGACCTAGCCTGGCTACCCCTGCTGGGCTTTTAGGGGGAGCTAGGCCCGGCCTGTGAGGTGGCAGGGAGGGCTCTGTTCCCACCCCCCCACTCCAACTCCAGCATGGCAGCCAGGAGGTTGATTCTGTCAAGATACTCGTGGGGTGGGGAGAAGGAGTGAAGGGAGCTGCCCACAGCATATGCCTGGCTCCCCCCAACCCTGCAGTGAGGTAGCTGGGGGGGGCACGTGGTAAAGGGGGCTCCCTTCTTCCCCCCCCATGTAAGGTCTTGACAGTGGCAGAGGCTGCCACGCCTGGAGCTGGGGCAGAGTGGGGGAAATAGAACCTGCTCTGCAGTCATGAATGTTTGTTACGTTACCGCTGTAGAGCACTTTTGGGGGCCTTATTCTGCAGAAAAGGTAACTTCTGTAAATGCCCACAAACTGTGAATCTCAGTAGCACATAGCTAGACTTTTGAGAAGATAATAATCAGCCTATTAGTTTTATCCAAAATGTTATCTCACGTTCTCCTACCTTCTTTCAAGGGGTCTACTAGAAGTTCATGATGTCTTTAACCAAAGCGGTTAGTTGTCAGTTGTGAAACTAAGTAATTAGAACCTTTCACTTGCCTTATACAATAACTACTTGATTATAATCTAAAAGCAGTTGTCTGGCTTTCAGACTACCTCATTAAGAGTTAATTTATATGCAGGTTTTGTTTTTCCAAAAAAGCACACATGACTGATCCACCCTATCATAAATTTTGTAATGATAAGGTGGTGCTGGCTCATCTAAAATTCCATCCAAAGGTGGTGTCAGATTTTTACTTTAGTCATCTTAACAATCTTTTCCTTCCCCTTATTTTCATTGTTGTAAGACATTGTTATATGAGCTCAATCTCAATAGTGCTGCTCCTATCCCCGGGGCAGTTTGCAACATATTGTAGATTGTCATTGCTAAAGCTCCAATGTGGATTTATTATTACTTTTTTTAAAAGTTCAGATGACCTCCTATTTCATTCCTTGAGCAGCTTTCTGTGCTTCCTTTTACGTGTCTGACTGATAGTGTCCAGCAGATGTCCTGCAGAGGCCTCTGGTCTGTGACTGTCTAGGAGTTAGGGCAAGTGGGGAGGGTAAGAAGCTTGCAAATTCGGGCATAAGAAATGTGGAGTGGGGGATATTTTTCAGATATTGTCATTCTTGTGGAAGGCCAGCGTGGGCATGGTGAGACTCTTTAGCCCTGTCTAAACTTGACAGCTGGCAGATATGGAAGAGCAGAGAAGTTAGTTGCATTTTGGAAGAGAATGGTTTTGGAGTCTTTTTACTGAGTTCATCACCCACTAGTGTCAGAGTACAAATGAAATGTGAACTGCTCTATGCTAACATTTCTATCTTGCTGCTTTTCCTGATGATTTACAAAGGGGTCTGACAGTGGTGCTGGCATAAATTTAAAAATGTGACTTCAGGGACTCCTGAACCATTTAGTCCAGTCCTTTGCCCTTATAGACAAGCATTTAATTAATATTTGCACAAAATGGTCCTTAAGAACATCCTTTCTGGCCTCTCTCATATTCATTCGCATCAGAACAGCAAACAAAGCAGGCTAGTACAATTAAGGCAGAAAATAGAATAAACTGTTCTATCAGTCTTCTTATAGTTTGAAAATAAATGCAATCTAAATAATGTAAGAGTTGTTAGTATTAATTGATGGTAATTCTTACATCTCACTATCCAGTTGCACTTTGCTATTATTTTAAGTACAATTCTATTTGATATGGAATTTTACTTTTTCCCCCTTTGTTGTTGCAGACTCTCCTACAGATTTTTGGTGTGGTGGGTGTGGCAGTAGCGGTGATTCCTTGGATACTCATCCCTTTAGTTCCACTTTTTATTCTTTTCATTTTTCTCCGACGATATTTCTTAGCCACATCGAGAGATATTAAACGCCTGGAATCCACAAGTATGTAGCTTGTATAAAATTGGTTTAAGTTTGAACTACTTTTTATTTCATGTAATGGTAAAATTCTGTACACTATCTGTTGATCAAGATTTTTTTCTTTTGTTCCTATTGTCTTGGATCTCAGCAAAAAAAATTCAAAATTTGTAGGTACTTGCTTAACTCCTGTTTCACCCCAGGGCTAATACTCAGGGAATTTTACTTGGGCTGCACACTGAATAAAATTAAGGACATGCTTAACTGCTTTGCTGAATCCCACACTTAGTTAGCTAGCTACATATAGTATCACTAGCAAATGGTTCATCAAGAATGATGCGGGGGGCGGTGGGGACAGAGCTGAATGTCCGGCCCCTGTCTGCCCCCCACCCCCTCCCAGCACTTTGGGTCCAATCCCGTTCCCCCCCCA